ACTCCCACCAAAGCCACTGGGCGCTCAGGGCACACAGCAATCCAAGGATAAACTACAAATATACTGCCGCAGTTGCATACAGTTTTCCTGGTCCAAGTGATTGTAAAATATTTTAATCTCCAGAGACTAGGAAAGGATGAGCTGAAATGATGAAAAGAATAGGATTGTTGTTAATTTGTGGGAAGGTAGATAATATTCTGGGTTTTTTTATGCCAATAGGTAATCTCTCAAATGAACTATTTGTCCTGATGTTGCTGCAGGAATAAACTAATTATGACATATTCTGCGAAACACAGGAAATTATGTCTTTTCTGCAGAAAACTGCAGTTTTAGCAAAGCAACTCACAAAGGCCCGCTGATGAATCTTCATTTTAAATGCGTACTGCATGGGACTGCTCCATATAGGTGGCTTCTCAGAACTTTTTACTATACCCAATTGATCCATAGATCTCCCCTTCACTATTTTAAGTCCAATGTGCAAGTAACGGTGGTGAGCACATTCAAGTGGCATTCTGCACCACTGCTGATGTAAGTTTTTCCACTGGGAAAGTTAGTACCTTAGAGTGCCCACAAGAAAACATATGGGAGAACTTAAATGAGAGAGGTGACTTAGAAGAAGTTGATAGTCTGCATGAGTCCATCTTTTTTAAATGCTTAATTTACACTGCTGCTGTTGTTGCTCGCTGCTTCCAGGGAGGCTTGCAAAGGACAATGGTATATTGTTTTCATATAAGGACAGCTGTCTTTTCAATGGGTATGTATGGCCTTGCTCTCACCTCTGCGGTCCTTTTGATGTTAGGCAGGACATGGTCCTACATTAGAAACTTTATATATAGAGTCTCTAGGTAGGGCAATGGTAACCACCAGTAGGACATGTTTTCTGAATGCAAGTAGGGAGGATTTACAGCTCAGCATAACATGAAATCCACAAGCCCACATATTTATCTGGAAGTTTTGTCCCCAGTTTTAACAAAAGACTGGAAGTACAGTCTCAGCTCTGCATCCCAAGAAAATCTTGGCATCTCCAATAGCAAAAAACCCCAAACCAAAACAAACAAAAAAAACCCCAACAAAAAAAGGAAGAGAAATAATAAAAGGAAATTTAATTTCTGAACAGGCAAAGAAAAGTTTAGCCAAGTGCTGCTTTTGAAAGTGCTATTATCATCTCATATTGCCAATGCAGCTGCAAATCAAAGCTCAACGAGATCATTTTTCAAGAAGGTCAGCTCAGCATTTGCTGTAATTTCCAATGGTTATTCACTGTAAATAATGGACTTTCTATGCTCATTCTTACAAGCAGCAGCTGGAGTTTGTTTTATAAAAAAGAACAGGCAGATAAAAGTGCAAAATAATTTCACTACAATGCAAGTAATTTTAAGTGATGGTAGTGGTAAATTCTGAACAACAACATACATATATAAAAAGCATGTTGCGCTTTAAAACAAACTTCTGTATGTTACTCTGCATCAGTATAAGAACTGTATGCCAAAACTGCAAGTTCCTAGTAGGTCAGAGAGGCAATGAAGACAAGTTTAATTGAGCAAAACCTTTGTAAAAGTGGACACGCAAAGTGAATCCACCCCACAGACGGACAAGTAAGTGCAGGAGGCAGCAGTCTCTATGAGGAGCCGCCGCACATCCATGCAACAACGGCTTGTATGTTCTTTCTTCCCTTCACAGTGAGTCTGTCTAGCACCAACCCAAACTGTTCTGAAAAAACACACAGGACTTGGGAATTGCGAGGTGTACAGATGCATCCACGCATACACAGAATTTCCTACCTCTGCTCCATTAGGAGAGCTGGCTGGTGGACACAGTTTCTGTGTTTCTCTAAGCCTGGGGTCATAGCAGTGGATGACTACATTCATGAAAATATAGCTATTTGTGTTTTAACTACAGGGAATGTACCATGATGCCAACATAACATTTGTGCTATGAGGATATTTAGAAGATTCAGACTAAAACAGAAACCTGGAACAAATTTAAAACTCCAGAAGTGCTTCAGAGTCTCACTGGGTTTGGTACATCCATGCATGTGGTGGGTAGCAGAGAGCAGCCGAGTCCCTGAAAGTCATCTTATGTACTGGCACTTCCGTTGTGCCCCTGAACCTCATTTATTGGTGAATATTACATCTTATTCTCCAAAAATTGCCAGGGGATGATCAACTTGCAAGCTCGGGCGCCTACCTTCATAAAGTTGAGCGTACTGTGGGAACCCAGCAGCCCGCAGCCAGTCACAAGCTTCCTTGGCCTCGATTTCTGGAAGAGGACAGAAACAAGACACCCTCTGATTAGTGACCTTCAAAGCAAAAATGTCCTCTCCACCACTTCTACTGTTCCTGTTACAAAATAAGCATGAAGATATTCAGCAACTTTGAACTAAGACACAGGTCTGCTTATCCCAGTTTGCTTTTCTTCTCATGATCAAACATATCTCAGATTCTGGAAAGTCTTCACCCGTAATTTATCAACGGCTCATCATTGTAATAGTTAGAGAAAGAGGCACAGATGAAAACTGAAGGAGTTATGGATTATTCTGTACAGGTTTTGTTAAAACTAGACAAAGCAGCACTGCAATCAACATGGGCAGCATTTGTTCAACAGATCTTAGGATTCTCTTGGCACAACTATTTTGTCTTGACAGAAATTCCTAGTAGAGCTCGTAATAAGCTCATAAGAGCACTTTAATATCTTGTAGATAGTACTGACAGACCCAAGTCCAAGAACAACTGACCCACTGTACTGCTCACTCAAGCACCTATTTACTACCCAACAAGAACCTAGCTTCACTGGAGGTCTTCAAGGCAGTTATGAGTTACTTGGCACGTTACAGGAAATTCAGCTAACTTTCCCTCACACTGCCCAAACCAGCATGCCACAAAATGAAATTATTCACATACATACACACGACACTGAAAGAAAGGAAATGCTCTAAACATGGGTTATATTAGTCTGTGAATAAATTATACACAAATTAATTTGTTACCTAATACAAGCAGAAATAATGAACATGTTATCTCATTAGCTCACAAACTCGGAAAATGTGAAAGGTATTTAGGGTATTCTCCAAGTGTTCAGGAAACGGATTGGGTTAATTTTGTTCTTCTAAAAATTCAAGAAGGTGCCACTGGGAATTTAGCTCCCTGCTTAGAACTGATCAAACATACAGTGAGCAATCAGAAACTCTTAAAGTTCATCTGGCTTTGATTATATTCACTGTTCTTGATGGACCAGAAAAGAAAAGCTTCGTTATGTACAACTCAGTAGACAATTTTGCCACCTACTTGGAGAGGACACTATAACTACCTGCTGCAGAAACCATGCACAAAAGGTTTTGCTCAAAATTGCTCAGAATACAAGTTACTGCACATAGGGCAGTGAAGAGCCAAGCGTAAAGTAAGTATCTCAAGATTTTGGCACGTTATGAAATACTCCCAATGAGATATAGGTTACAGAGTCAAAATCAGATGGAACAGCAGGCACCTTTTAGTGTCTCCAGAATGATGGCAATCCCCCTCCAATTTTCCAAATTGCTACAGCAGGGTTAAAATATTTGTGCTTTGCCAGACTGCTCTGCTAAGATACATACCCAAACCAAGGGGTTAAGGTGAGCCAAAGCACAACATTCCACATAAATAAACAGCTAAAAATCCACTCTCACTGAAGTCAGGACAAGCAGGCATTTGTGTAACTTGTGTTTGCTTCACCTTTGGGTTATGGGACCACATGAGAACAAGCACGTACAGATATATTGACTTAGCTACTCATTAAGAAAAAGCATTCAATTCCAATTGCAAGCGATTGTAAAGTTTTACTTAAAGTAGTGTTTTAATTTCGGTATCCTAAGGAAATACATGGGAAAGTTAATTAGGGAAAAAAAAAATCTAAAATATATCTTAAGACTTGTGCTGCTAATGCAAGAACAAACAACAAAATATTACCCTCTCAGAAGCAATAAAAATATTAAAGTCAAAAATTCTGCAATTAGTTTTTAAGAGTACTTAAAATACAATGCGCTATCTTACAGATCACATCCTGCAGAAGTGTCTGGGCTGAGTAAGAATTTTACTTGATTTAAAAGTGGGGGGGGGGGAAAAATCCCCGATAGCCAGTATTTACCTAAAAATGCAGGTAGATGCTTGTAGTGCAATTGAAAAAAGTGTCAGATTCCTTACTACTACAGTGTCTCTTAAATGTGTTTAAATATTTGTTCACAGCTCTTTTACTGAGCACTCCAGGTGTATGACCTGTAAAATATTTCTAGAGCTAGAAAATTATGAATATGCATTTACCAAACTTCTTTTTAAGGTTCTGTATAGAACCTTTGTGTATCTTTTCTGCAAATATATATACAAGTTACGTGGAAGTCATATTCTATGGGCAGCCAGGTGCCAGGTGCCTTTGGGATTTTCAGAGCATATTTGCTTTCAAAATACCTTTGAGAATCCCCCAAGAAGCCCGTTTAGGGAATGAAACACCTGAGTTGCTCCTGGCTGGCCACAAGAATTGCAGAAATAACAAACCACCAGGGCACCTGTTCATTGCCCAGGCCAGGCAAACGCCTCGGGCTGGCTACAGCACAGCACCCAGGGTTCAAAAGCAATACTTGCCCCAGGTCCATCGCAGTTTTGGGAAAGCCAGGGCTGTCTGGAGCCTCTGGCTCCAGTTGCAAGTCCTCGGAAGCGCGAGGGGTTTGGAGAACTGTCTTGGAGAAGGGGCCAGCGAGTCCCCTGCGGCCAGGGCTCTCTCCATGTCACCTCCACCCACGCGAAGAGTGTGTCAGACAAGGGACGTGGGTGACAGGAGCAGAGGCAGGACCTCAAAAAGCAGCTCAGCTCCTTTTGGTCCAACTCCAGCCGGCCAAACCCAGGATTGCTCCCAGCCTGTCCCGATGCGCTGCGACCAGGTGAGCAGAAAGGTGATTTCCAATCCAGCTTCCTCGTCTCAACCCTGCTGGTTACTGAGGCGTCAAAGAGTGTGAACAAAACTGTGCACGCATGTGAAATTCAGGCAGATAAAAACATAGCCGGAGAATCCAGCCCAGGGTGCACTGCATAGGCTGCGCAGAAAGCTTAGTACACAGAACAAGCTTCCTCACTTGAGATACAACCTTAAACAGCTGAAAGCTTGTGTAGGTAAAAAGTTCATTACCATGACTGAACTGGAATCTGCCTTTGAGAATAGAATACATTAGCTAGACCTGAGGTTCTGGCCAAGTCACTTAAACTACGCTGGAGGAGAAAGCTCATTCCCACACTTTCCAAATACCAGCTTTTCTTCCAGCTCAGCAGCATCAGCCCTGGGACTCTTGGTCTGCCAGCTGCCACAGTTTCGTATCCAGGTGGACGTGGGAATACGCGCAAGTCCGTGACATATGGATCAATGGCAACCAGTATAACGAGGGACAAAAAGAGAGAAGAACAGAGCTTCCAAGGTCAGATTTTTCCACTACTTCTAAAAAGTTTTAGAAGGGGTAGGGCACCCAGAAGCCTTCATTCGGTCCCAGGGGACCTACAGATCATTACCTGAGCTACGAACTCACTGCTGAGCACAGCATGTGCTCGGCCGGGGCCAGCGGAGAGCCACGGAGAGGGGAGGGAGCTTGCAGAGGAGTTCTACACTGCTTTCCGACCCATTTCAGGGAAGCTCTACTTCGGCCCTTATTAATCTGCCATGATATGCAAAGCAATTTCCCATCATGAGCATCTTTACGATGGAAGACCTGGCAGCTGAGCTGACAGAAATTGCAGTGGGCAAGGGACTGGTCTCACTCCCTCCTCCCCGCTCCATCCCTGCAGTGCCATTTCCTTTCTGAATCAAACATCCTCGCCGGTCAAAAACCTTTACAATAAACTACAATTCAGTATACATTCCAGACAAGAAATGCATGTGCAGCTTTTCAGATGTGAGTCCTGTGCCCTCCCCCAGCAGCAGGAGGTTCTTGTACAAAAAAAAAAACCCCAAAGACGCCGGCAAGAAAGAAATCGCGTTATTTCTAAGTGTTCTGATACACAAGAAATTCTCTTAGAAAGTAAAACAAAACACCAAAAAAACTGCCAAAACAACAACAAAAAAAAGGAGTACAATGAAGTCTTTATTCTTGGTGTCCTGTAAGCAAACAGCAGGCAAATGTGTTAAAGAGGAAACAGGAAATTTTTATTGGAAACAGCTTTATTTGTTAGTCCGTTTCACAAAGCAGGCCCCCATGCTCAAATCAAGGCTAGGAGTTCCTTTTGTGTATGGTTGGGAACCATTAGTCCTTATTTACCCACTTCCTGGGGGGTTAGGAGGACTCAATTCTTCCCCAAACTGCTAAGTGAAAATGGAAACTTCTAACTTCTTTTTTGTTTAACTTTGGTTAAGCTTGGTTCCTGGCCCTGCAAGTTTGCAGGTTTAAAACTTCATAGCAAAAATATCTCAATTCACATCTTGTTTGACACTGCAACTGCAGAAGGGAGAAATCTAAGATGTCTATAGCCTTTGGATAATACATTCCTTCCTACAGAAAATAAAACACCCAGGGTTTGATGCCGCAAAAATACCCTTTGAGAAAAAATAATCATAGCAGCCTAGCTAGGAGCAGTAAAATCTATTACAAAGTTAGAAGGGTTTATTTTTTTCACTTTCTTGTTCTTCCTTGCTTTTTGCTTCCATGAAATAACATACAAATTAAGCACCAGCTCTTTCAGGGTCTTCAGGACAAGGTGCAAAGCAGATATATCTTTGTACAGTCACGTGTTGGCTCCATTTTCACCTAAGTGCTAAACATCATATGAACAGTTCTTCCAAGCAGATGGTTTCCTCTTGCCTCAACTCAGACACCTTTATAGCCATATTAGCACCTCCACACATCAGTTCTACTCATCTCACCTTTTGGCTCTGTTAGGAGAGTAGATTGTAAAAATCTGTAGCAAGACTAGTCAAATCAATGCTGTTAAAGTCAAATTTCAGCAAAAATGGGCTTCATTGCTGAAGGTCCACTCCAATGCCATACCTAACAACCAGTTTGTTTAGGGTTCTTTTCGGTCTTAATTTTTTACCAGGTCATTCTAGTTGAAATTCACTATTTTCCTTTTCCAGAAAAGAAAAAACAAATTGTAAAAATGGAATACAAAATAATCTTCCTGAATTAGCTTGCAGGAGAGAGTCTCTCCCATGGCATACAGAGAATCCAATTTCCCACCATGAATGCTACAGATTAACCCGATTGCTCCTTACTGCAATGCATAAAACTTTCTGCATGTTTTCTAGGGC